ATTTGATAATATATACCCAGAAGAGGTATATACAAAGATAGTGTGGTGTGTGTGTGTGTGTGTGTGTATATATATATATATATATGGGTAATTACAATAAAGATAAAAGATTAAAAGATGAAAGTAAAAGCCTATGGTTAATACGTTAGTGAGTTGGTAATTCATCCAAAAGCTTTGATTAAATTTAGCGTATCGCCAATACCTATAATCGTTAATCTTGCGAGAGCTAAGAAGTTATGTATAGATCTATACGGGGCCATAACAACCCTACCTGCGATTGTTAGTTGCAATCCGGGCAGGATACCTTCCATATAAGTTACTATTCGACGTCCGATGAAGCATCGTGATCAAGGATACATTTTCAGTCATAGCGTCTATTATAATAGCTCACATTAATATATTAAAAATGCCTTAGAGATTATATTACCATTAGGGATGCTTGGTATAGTAATTAAAATATGTTAGCATCATTAGAAATCCTGAATTGATAATAAATTAGGATTAATAGAAGACAATCCTAATTGTATTATGTTAGGATCATTAGATATCCTGAAAAGATATTCATTGAAGATCAATAAAAGATATATTAAAACATAGAAGACTATATAACTAAATAAGAAAGGTTTTCACTAAAGAAAAGTATTCTTAAAAGGAATTCAAAAATTCAAAATAAAAAGTCACGTACTCAAAAATATTATATTGACTTTCAAAATACATGTACTCTCAAGAATATAAGTATGGAAGCATATCCCACGAGTATGAAGGAAGTTTGCAGGGAAGGTGTTATGTTTAGTATAATTATTTCAGGAGTTTGTTTTTGTCCCTAAAATAATGTAAACCTTCATAATCATTAATAAATAAATATTTAAAAACTATACCTTTGAGTTTGATTGTACCTGTTGCCGAGACCCAATTATCCCCACGCCGCACTACCTGGTGTTTCCACCAATGGCTGGGCCAGGTGTGATAGTACACCATATTTTTGTAACACCTATGCACGTTGATCATTATAAACGTGGGTACCCCGATCACTTATTAAATGCCTAGGCATGCTAAAATGAGAAAGCAATTCTACACGTGAATAATTAGTGGGTAATGCTTGTGCTTCCGCCCACTTCAACAAGTAATCAACCACAACTAAAATATACTTGTTACCTTGAGATGACGGAAATGGACCTATGAAATTCTTACCCCAAATATCGAAGATTTCACAAACTTAGATGTTATTTTGGGGAATTTCATTTCAAGATGAAATATTACCCAATCGTTGGCATGAATCGTACTCCTTTAGAAATGTAGTAGTGTACATGAAAATCGATAGCCAATAAAATCCTGCATCAAAAATCTACTTTGTCGTGTATTAGGCCCCATGATGCCCTCTAGTCGACTAACTATGACAATGGTGCAAATTGTTACTGGCCTCTCTCCCATGCGTGCAGTGCCTTATGATTCCATGAGGACAACCTCTGAATTGAAATGGCTCATCATAGAATTAGTACTTAATTTGTGAGAAGAACTTCTTCTTTTGTGGATAAGATAAGCCCTTTGGAAGATAACTGCTTAGTGCTTGCCAAATAATTAACTATATCTATATACCATGGCTCTTCACCTGCTATCAGCATTAAGTACCCTTTAGAAAAATTATCATTGATCTTGTCTTCTTTCAATTCTTCAAGATTTGAATTTTCTAAGCGCGAGAGATGATCAACAACCACATTCTACATCCCCTTCTTATCCCATATCTCGATGTCAAATTCTTGAAGTAAGAGCATGCATCAAATCAATCTAGGCTTCGCATATTATACTAAACAAATATTTAAAAGCATAATGGTTAGTAAAAACAATTGTTTTGGACAAAATCAAATAAGGACAAAATTTCTCAAACGCATAAACCACAACCAATAATTCCTTGTCAGAAGTAGTGTAATTTTCATGGACTAGTTTAAGTGTTTTTCTTGCACAATAAATTGGTTGAAAATGTTTTCAACCCTTTGACCTACATTTGCTTTAACTGTAAAATCACTTGCGTCACACATGAGGTCGAAAGGGAGGTTCCAATTCTGGGCAACCATGTTGGGGGCATTTGTCAATTTCACTTTTAAAATTTCAAAATCTTCTAAACAGTCACTAGAAAAAGTACACATTTTTAAAAAGAAATTGAGTCAAAGATCTCGTTATTATTATTATTTTTAAATCTTTAATGAATCGGCAGTAAAATCTCGTGTGACCTAAAAAGTTTTGCGCCCCTTTCATGTTTGTTGGGGGTAGAAATTTTGCAATGCTGTCCATCTTTGTACGATCCACCTTAGTCCCTGCCTTGGAAACCTTGTGACCAAACACAATTCCCTTTTTGACCATAAGATGGCACTTCTCCCAATTCAAGACCAGATTGGTCTTTTCACACCTGGCAAGCATCAAGTCAAGGTTAGCCAGACAATATTCAAAAGAAGAACCAAAAACAAAATAATCATCCATGAACTTTTCCACCATGTCCATAAAAATGGAGGTCATGCGTCTCTAAAATGTAGTTGGTACGTTACATAATTCGAAAGACATTGTTCTATAAGAAAATGTTCTACTGGGACATGTGAATGTCTTCTTTACTTGGTCTCTTAGATCTATCAAAATCTGGAAATATCTTAAAAAACCATCTACAAAACAATAGTAATGGTGACCGGATAAATGCTCGAGCATTTGATCAGTAAATAGTAACAGAAAGTGGCATTTTCTGGTGCCATCATTTATCTTGCGATAACCAATGCACACTCGCCAACCAGTTACCATTCTATTTGGGATGAGCTCGTCTTTTTCATTCATCAATACCGTTATTCCTCCTTTCTTTGGCCCCACATGAATCAAACTAACCCATGGACTATCTAAAATTAAATATATGATTCCCGAGTCCATTAATTTCACTATCTCCTTTTTTTAATACCTCTAGCATGTTAGGATTCAATCTTCTTTAAGGTCATACCACTAGTTTGGCTCCTTTACCTAGATTAATCTTATGCGAGCAATACGAGTGACTAAGGCCTTTGATGTATGTGATCTTCCATGCACTGGTGTTTTTGCGTTTCTTCAATACCACCACTAAACTTTTCTTCACCTAGGGCTCTAGATCAACTGCTATCATGATAGGATTTTGCTCATTTTCCTCCATGAATGCATATTCCAAATCCTCAAGAAACAGAGTTAATTCCAATCTTAGCCTCTGTTCAGTCGCCACGACGTAGGCATCAGATCGCCATGTCGTGGGCATCTGATCACCACATCTTGGTGTCTGCAACCTTCTCATATGGTCACAATTTTTTTCTTGGCCACGTCATCGTGTGTCTTCAACTTGTTTTCGAACATATTCAAACTTACTTTCCTCCAAAATCCTATCATGTTCAGCTAGGTCATGTTCAACATCAAAATCACTCTCTTTCAAAGTCAATATCCTTTTAAATCGTTATCCTTCCATCCTTGATTTTCATTTTCCAATAATGCATCGAAATGTCCACCGAGAAAACCGAATCATCACTTATCTCAGAACACATCATATCTCTATCAACTCAAAAGTTTATGGTTTCTTATCTAATAGGAAGAGTAAGCTAGGACTCTCTAATATCCAACAAGTCTCGTGCAGTGCTATGGAAAGGCCACCCAAGAATGAATGGAACTTGGTTATCTTCTTCCATGTTTAACATGACAAAATTTGCTTAAAAAACAAACTTGATGAGAATAAATCTAGAGTGGTCGATTAGATTGAAACAGGTAAAGGAATCAAGAACAAAACGAAGATCAAATATGTGCTTAATGATTAAAAGCCACTACCTCAGAAGAGCTCGACAAAAAACTGCTATTGTAGAGGCGTGTCGGGTTTACAATCTCGATTGTTGCAAGACACGGTGCATGCATGCACCTTAAATAAACCCTAATAATTAACTAATAGCTGGAAAGGCCCAACCTGGTATACAATATGGACAAATCAAAACAATGATGTAACACAAAATGCCCAACAATCTCCCCCTTTGTGTCAATTGAGGTGGGAGGCTCTTCATGGTTGTGTTTGCTTTGTCGTCTTGAAGAACTTGGGCATGATGCTGAGAGGTGTGTTGCGAAAGGCAATATACCAATGAATCATTTTAGAAAAGTTATTCTTAAAAGTAGCATCATTTTCCTTGCACTGACGAGTAATATCCCAAACATAGTCCAGGTAGGTTGTTGAAAATAAATGTTTTTCTGGAAAAGCGAACAGAAACTTCTAAAAATCACCTATTTCTTTTGATCCCCTCTGAAACATCACAGCCCAGCATTCTTTGTCTATCTTCCCCCACCCTTATTTTTTCAATATCTTTTGCTGATCCTTGGGGAAGGACTTTTGGTTTCCTCTTCAACACATAATCTATTTTAGTGTCAAGCTTCGCAACCTCATAGATATACGAAACTAGCATTCGCTTGATGTGTTCTACAATCGGGTCATACTTCTTCTCTTCCTTCATTAGGAGATGCATCAGAGTGATCCATTCATAGAGATTTAGACAAGGTAGATCAATGAGAGAGAACTCTAAAACAGAACTCTCTGAACCTCGAGTTATTTTGAATTTGACATTTATGAAGCTCTCAGTTACAAGTGGCCCAATGACCTTCACACCAGTTATTTTTTGTTCACTCCATCTAAGATGTTGAGGCTTGTCGTGCTTGAGATATAATTCCATCAAAGATTTGTTAACATTCACATCTAATGGTTGAGTGTTCACATTCACCTTAAAACTCCAAAACAAAAAAGCTTTCGGTGTGATAGGCATGTCCAGTTGCGACTCAAGAGTGTTTTCCAGTTCGAACGACGCAATTGGCGGTAGCCAATGAATGTTTCGATTATCAACCACTTCGTTTAGAATTCGCTCTAAAGTCCACAAAGGAAATAAAAGTTTTCGACTTTCCATTGTGACTTGAGCTTCACGTTCAGCTGTAGCTCTGCTTATCTAACAATCCGGTTGTTTTCATCAATTTCGGCATCACGAGCCTTTCTTTTGTTTTAAATCATGTTCCTCAGGTTCTTCTTCATCACCGCCATCAATCAACTTCCCTTTGCCTTTAAAATCCAAAGCTTCATTACCCTTTGGTTCGTTCATTGTTTTTGGCTTTTCAGTTTCACCAGAAGTTCCAACAGTTTTCTGGGGTTCTTTCGCAAATTGACCTTTTATATGTTCTCCCCCTTGTTTCGAAAGTACTGAGAACTCCAAAACACCTTCAATCCTATTGATCATAGTGAATGCAAGCCTGGTTTTGTTTGTCAGATGTTTCTTGACGGTGATAGGAATTAAGGGATCGTGTATCTCGATGAGATCGGAAAGCAAGATACTCACATCAGAAACACAACATTTTATAACAACTCTCTAAGATAAGAGCTTATTGATCTTCTTCTCAGATATCTTAGGCTTGACATTTAACATCTTCACTTCTTCTGTCTTGAGTGCAAGAGCATCCATTATTTTACTCTCAGTTGCCAAGTCATCTAGAAGCTTTACGATTTTAGATGTGATGGAGGAGTTAAGTTGTGTGTTGTTAGATTTGAAACCAATACGAACCTTCTCCAGAGTATCCTTCTATGTTTGAAGGGAAATACTCAGACTTGATATAGCTTCATTAGCTTTCACAGTATTTGACTCAAAAGATCTATGAAAACTGCTCATGAAGGATCAAGCATCAGTAATTAGTTTATCGGTAGCCAAATCCTCAATAGCTTTGTTCGCTTTCTCCATAGTTACAACATGTTCCTTTAATGTTGTTTCAATTAAGCCCTTGACTGCTTCCTGAGAATAAGCACTGCTTAACGACGCATTGGTAGATTCAATCAACAAATCCCACTTTTCATTTATTGCTTTAAGTTGCATGTGAGTAAAAGGAGCTTCATCATCACTGTCAACTTTTACAGTGAAAGGACTGTAACGGAAAGATTTAAATTCTTCATCAAAACTTCTACAAATAGTATCAGAATCACCTTGGCGGAGAGGTGAGACGGGTGGCGTTGAATGACCATGAGTGAAAGCTAAAGCGCCTACCCCCGCATCAGATGTGTTGACAGACACTGGAGGTTCACCGATAGTGGTTGTTATTGTCACACCCCAAAACCAAGAACGGCGGAAACGTTCTGGGGCGGAGGACGTCATGTATAATATCAACAACAATGTAAAGTAGTAAACAAGCAACAACATCATCCATTGCATTAATAATATAATTATTATACAAATATGTTCTGTCAAATTTTGATAAACACTAAAGCATAAATCAAAATGAAAGATAAGTCTTGAACAAGCTCCATCTTCTTTTCTCCTTGCATTGGTACCTGTCTATGATGACCTGAGGATACAAGTAATTTTGAAAGCGAGTATCAGCTTTGAAGCTGGTGAGATCATAAGTATTAATGTGTCTTAATTTGTAAAACTTATAATTTTTAAGACTTGACATTGTTTTGAAAGAAATCTCGTATAAGTATAAAAATGTTTGTAGAACAACTATAAATGTTTGAAAAACCCTAGAAATCCCTATGATTCCTATTAGTAACAAAAGGAGTCTTCTACCAAGACTTGATTGTTCTCAATGTAATCTTCTACCAAGACCTAACTGTTCTGAATGTAGTCTTCTACCAAGACCTAACTGTTCTGATTGTAGTCTTCTACCAAGACCTAACTATGTTACTATTATTATCATTATAAGAATTTGTATCCTTTGGTACTAGGATACTTACATATAATTCACCTCATTGGTTATGTGAATGAGTCACAAAATAGAGGTAATAATACAACTAACCTGAATATTACCCTTTGGTACTAGGGTAACTAACATTGTTAACTTTAAGACATCCGTAGACGTACTCTTACCTCTGTTGCTAACAGCTGGGTATAGGAATAGTTAATCCCTGAATCGTATACCTGTAATGGTACCAACCGTTGACATCCGTGGATGTACTTTTACCTCTGTAGCTAACAGAGATTTTAGGAATGGTCAATCCCACAATTGTATCCTTGGGTACTAGGATAATAAATCCAATCTATCTCGCCGATTATGTGATTGAAATCACAAAGTAAAGATAAGAATGAGGATTTTGATAACAGAGTCGATACATATAAAATGTAATAGGACTCCTCCTGATATATATCTATGTAACAGTGCTCCTATAAGTATGATCATGTAAAAGTAAACATGTATATGTACTTATGTAAATGTGCTCATGTAAGTGTAATCATGTAAAAGTAATCATGTGTATGTACTTATGTAAATGTACTCATGTAAGTGTAATCATGTAAAAGTAATCATGTATATGTACTTATGTAAAAGTGCTAGCTGTAATATGTGTTCTCTCTATCTAGCAAGTATAGTAATGTACTGTAATGTTCTAGAAGGTATTGACTCATGAATGAACTAACTCATTTGTATGATATCTCATTCTAGTAATTGTTCTAGTATCTTCCTAAACTACTCATATGGTATTTTACTAGAAATCTATCTGGTAAGTATGGAGATGCATGTATACCCTTGCTACCCAAGGGCATATGTTGAACTGGAAGGACCTTTTATGACTATATATATACACATGATATATAACTAATATTTAAACGACTTTAGGACGAATACCCGATATCCCACCAGACCACATCTCAAGGCGCAAAAATGAAATAGGGTGGATAGCCTTCCTAAGTCTTTTAAACATTTCTTATATAATTATACATATAGAGGCATGCAATTTATAATATAAAAGCATAAATAAGTTTTGTAAGACATTTGAAATATAAGTATTATTTTAAGAAAAGATCGACTTGATGTCAATCTATAAAACAATTTGAAGGCATAAGTTTAATAAAACAGTTGTATAAGGAAACATTTGTTTGAAACACAGTTGTAAATAAGTTTGAAAGGTAATGTACGGAGTAAGCTGTATAGTGTAAAAAGGAGTTTAAAACATATAAAATGTTTATAAAAAGTCATTTGAAGGAAACTGTTTGGTAAAACGGCTAATGAGTAGCCAAATCATTTGAATGTTGTATATTAATCACATGTGATTGATGTAATAAGTAATATAATCCTACTTACTAATCACATGTGATTGACATAATAAGTAGCATGATTCTACTTGTATCCCCCCCCCCCATAAAACATTTAAAATAGTTTAAAACATTAGTTAAGGGGTATGAACTCACCTGCAGTAAGTGACTGGAATTGAACGGACTGTTATCGTACGGAAGGATCGGACAAGTGCTTGGTGTCAAGTGGAGACTTAGACACACACAATGATCCTAATTACATATGAAAACATATGTATATAAAAAATTAGTGATTATAACACTAATTATACAAGTAATAACATTTAAGCGCGAGGAAAACACTTTTGGTCAAGTGCTAGGAGGCTAAAGGGTTGCAACAAAGGAGTGCAATGCCCCTAATGTGAGTTTAAGGTCTAATGACCATATTCATTGGAGTTTACGGCCCAGGGGAGTAAGCTCCTGGCCGTAAACTCCCAACCAAGGCTTGAAATGGTGCTTAGAATTACTACAACTCTAGTGGGAATTTATTCAAGGCTTATACAAGTGTTTGGGCACCATATTGACTCCTTTGCGGAGTTTACGGCCCAAAGACCCTTTTCCCTTGGAGTTTACGGCCGTAAACTGTAACACTAAAATTTTCAAACAAATTTTTCGATTTTTATAAAACATAATTCCATCAATATTCATAGAAACACCCCTTTTAATTGTTCAACAAAATAGTACAAAATCCCAAGATCCAAAATGTCAAGTTCCAAACGTGTGTGTATGGATCAAGCCGGCGCCTTCCCACGGTCGTCACTAGTACCTGAAACAATTAACATCAACACTGTAAGCACAAGGCTTAGTGAGTTTCCCAAAATACTACATATAACACATATTAGCCACTCGAGGCTATAACTCTGTGGGTCCGTGCACCCAAACTCTGTGAACCCTCAGGTTCTAACTCTGTGAACCTTCCGGTTCTAGCTCTGTAAACATGCACAGCATCAAACACATAAAAGTAATGCAGTACAACACATAACATACATAGCATACAAATACTTTATCATATAACTCTGGTTCCTACTCAAGGTAAAGTATAGTGAGAAGACTCACCTCGTGTGTCTCGGTAAACAGTAACCCTGAAATCGCTAAACACTCGATCTGCCGAGCTGAAGTCCCCCTATAGCACAATACATCTCTAGTTAACACTTTCCCAACTAGGGTTGACCATACCATAACAAGACAATCTAGGTCAACGGTCAACTTGACCGGACTCGGCGAGTGCACTATAGCGACTCGGCGAGTCTGAGCGCATTCACCAATTTCCCTGGAATCCTCTCTTGACACGTCGAGCATCCCCTCCCACTCGACGAGCTCCACCTGGCACGAGTTGTGGGGCCACCACGACTCAACTCGCCGAGTCTCAAGAACAACTCGGCGAGTCCGGTTTGACTCGGTCCACCTGTCCATCCTGAGTCCCCCTTGACCCACTGAGTTCACTCATCCCAACTCGGCGAGGCCACTCGCTGAGTGGTCGTACAACATTCAAGCTACTCGCCGAGTCTGTTCTTTGGACTCGGCGAGTCCGTGCCATGCACTGACTCAATCTTGCTCTAAAGGCCAGATCCAGTCCACTAATCCATAGATCCAGTCCCCCCATGCTTATTTAGCACGTAAAGTCACAACCTTGATGCATAAATAACCTCTACATGATCACAAATGATGTTTTTGACTCAACTACTTCAACACAAGGCCAAGGACTCCATTTCCTCCCATAAAGCTTGATGAGTGAGGCCCTCTGGACCTCTATGGATCCAGATCCATGGTCTCAACTCCAAGAGGGAACCAAAGGGGCACCAAATCACCCCATAAATGATCACATTAAGCCCTAACTTGCATCAAGTTTCACCAAACAGAAAATGGTCCAAAAATAATACCTCTAGAGTGATGATCCAAGCTCCAAATCCACGAAATAGCAACCTCCTTTGCTTCCTCTTGCCTAGGGCCTCCTTCTTCTTGCTAAACAACACACACAAGATCAAGATTGGATCTCTTTCCTTCACAAAACGCTCAAGAACTCTAGGGACACTCTCTGGGGGTTGGGTGAGCGCAAATGACGGCCATAAGGCCCCTTAAATAGGCCACAAACCCGGAGATTTAGGGTTTCATAACACAGCGCAGACTCGCCGAGTCCATACCCTGGACTCGCCGAGTCCAAGTGCACCCTCGCTCAATCCCGCGTCCCTACTCGGCGAGTCTGAGCCCCAACTCGCCGAGTCCCTCTTACAAAATAACACAATTAAACTTACATTATACCTGGTAAAATACGGATGTTACAACTCTCCCCCACTAGAACTGGACTTCGCCCTCGAAGTCCCGCTCTAAAACAGCTCCGGATGCTGCTCACGCATCAAACCCTCCGGCTCCCAGGTCATCTCTGATCCTTTCCGATGTTGCCACTGAACCAATACCAGAGGTACCTCCTTGTTCC